CAAAAAAAAAAAAAAAAAAAAAAAAAAAAAAGAGTGTGTATCAGTTCTAAAGCCATGCAGACTAGTTTTGAATACTGGCCTCCCCTTGATGACTTTGGGCAGGTTGCTTAACCTTTCTGCACTTCCAGTGCCTTATCTATAAAATGAGGACAATATGGAATACTACTCAGCAATAAGAAGGAACTGTTGATACATGCAATAACTTGGGTGGATCTCAAAGTCATTCTGCTGAGTGAATGATTCCAGTTATATAGCACTCTGGAAACGGCCAAACTGTGGCAAAAAGGAACATGCATGATTGCCAGGGGTTAGAAGTGTGAAAAGGAGTAACTTAAGCATATCCTAAGTGACAGAAAAAAAAAAAAAAAAGAAGTGGGACGCGGGTGTGACTACCATGGGTTAGTATGAGGTGATTTTTGAGATGAAACTGTTTTGTATCCTGATTGTGGTAGTGGTTACATGAGTCAGTACATGTGTTAAAACTCATAGATAATACACTCCTCCACGGAATCCATTTACTATCCATTAATTTTCTTAAATAAATGTAAAAATGGGGCAGTAACAAAACCTACAGATACCTGTATACTACCTACTATATAGTACATAATGACTAAATGGTTTTTATTGTCATTTTATCATTGTTATTAAAAGTATAATATTAAATATGGTGACATTAATTGAAAGTAAGATAGAATAAACTTTCATACCATCTGCATGGGTATGGTCAGTAAATGTGAGAAAAATGAGTAACTGAGTCAGATGGAGTATGTTTTCACATGATTTGGCAAGAGATATGAGGTTTTCTGGACAGTGGGGAAGGATTAGGCCTAGTATTTCTGGAGTATCTTGCAACTGGCTTCTTGTCTGGCTGCATATACAGTTCCCTTGATAGTATTCTTCAACAAAATAGCTTTGGTCTTGGAAGCCGCAGCTCCTTTTATTGGCTTCAGATTAGATCTGAAATTTGGACTGAACAAACTGGTCAAAGAAGGAGCTGGAAGTAGTTTTCATACTTGAAAGATGGTAGCTGTTCCATATAACAGCTGTGGCTTCCAGAGCCATTTCTTCCTGCCAGCCACAGTCTCTGGATTAGACAGTGATAGCAGTAAGGCAAGCATTGTTCCAGAGCTAAAAAAAAAAAAAAAAAAAAAAAAGGTCGCAGTGGCGTTGTAGTTATACTAGCAGTGAAAAAGAGGTAGAACCTCTTTTTAGAAAAATGAAACCATGACCTTTCCATCAAGTGGGGTGGTGGTTTTCTACAGGAACTCACAATCTGAATCAAAACAAGTCAAATAAATGGTAAAAAGGATTCTGACCTTAGGATGCTTGCTATGTTAGTTGGCACTTGTCTGTATATTCACCTTTAGCTGATGACACCAGAATTCAGGAAGCAGGCAGAAAGAGGGAATGTTTGTGGTTCCTGGTACAGGTCATTGGTTTAGGAGTGACTTAATTTTTCCTAATTCTTTACAACAGTGACACTAAATTTCAGGCAAAACTCTGTCATTCAGTTTGCTTCTGTTATAGCTTGTTCTATTGTACATATGTGACTAAGTTATTGATTGCTGTGAAGAACATAACTTTTTGTGGCTTTGAGTAGACAATGCCAAATTGACTAGCCTATTGTTTTATTTTGGTTTTGTTTTTTAGTTCCCTGTTAGTTATGCTACGAGTAATTAGGATAGTGGTTTAAAATATAAGAGGATCAGTATTTTCAAAAATCATCATATAGTACTTGGTTACATAACTCTGAATGTACTAAAAAATAAAGGGGTCAATTATATCTCAATAAAGGGGTGAATTATATCTCAATAAAGCTGTTACCAACAAAACAGAAATGCCATACCAAAAAAAATAATAGTAATAATCATACTGACCTATGACCTTCCAATGGAAGAAATTAAACTTAACTTTTCAAAATGGTGCTATTGGCACTAGGCAAGGTCCTGAGTTTATCCCAAAATTATGGATTTAGACTATTTAATGACTTCTCTGAAGAGTTCTTAGAATTCATCTGCTAAGCAAATAAGCATTCATGTAGTTATGATGTAGTCATTGTCAATTTCACAAGGGAGGAGGATAAGGATCATCACTAAGACTAAAACAATGATTCTGAACTGGGTGATTTTGCCCCCCAGAGGCAATCTGGCAATATCTGGAGACATTTTGGTTGTCACAACTCGGGTGTGCTACTGGTATCTAGTGGATCAAGGCCAGGAGGGATGCTGCTGAACATCCTACAATGCATAGGACAGCCCTCATGGTAAAGGGCTATGTGGCTGGGCACGATAGTTCACGCCTGTAATCCTAGCACTTTGGGAGCCTGAGGCGAGCAAATCATGAGGTCAGGAGATGGAGACCATCCTGGCTAACACAGTGAAACCCCGTCTCTACTAAAAATACAAAAAATTAGCCAGGCGTAGTGGCACATGCCTGTAGTTCCAGCTACTCAGGAGGCTGAGGCAGGAGAATCGCTTGAACCTGGGAGATGGAGGTTCAGGTTGAGCCCAGATTGCGCCACTCTAGCCTGTGCAAAAGAGCGAGACTATCTCAAAAAAAAAAAATAATTATGTGTCCCAAACTGTCATTAGTGCCAAGGTTGAGAAACTTTTGTACAAAATGTACATCTGTGTTTTCTTTTAAGAGTTTTAGCTTTTACATTGAGATCTTTGATCCATTTTGAGCTAATTTTTTTTTTTTTTTTTTTTTTTTTTTTAAAGGGTTTTTCCTTTTTCCCCCAGCCTGGAGTGCAGTGGCGTGATTTCAGCTCACTGCAACCTCTGCCCCCCCCAAGCAATTCTCCTGCCTTAGCCTTCTGAATAGCTGGGATAACAGGCGCATGCCACCAGGCCCGGCTAATTTTTATATTTTAGGTAGAGATGGGGTTTCACTGTGTTGGCCAGGCTGGTCTTGAACTCCTGAACAAGTGATCCACCCACCTCAGCCTCCCAAAGTGCTGGGATTACAGGTGTGAGCCACCGTGCCTGGCCTTAATTTTTGTATATGACATGAGGTAGGGCTTCAGTTCATTCTTTTACATGTGGACATCTAGTTGTCCCACCAACATTTGTTGAAAAGACTATTCTCCATTGCATGGTCTTGGCACCCTTGTCAAAATCAATTGAATGTAAATTGCCCTGGTGTAAAATGGCTAATGTCTCTACAGATTTCTCCTAGAAAAAGCCTTACACAGCCTCCCTGAGGTCTTGGAAAATCTTGATGACTTGTTACTGCTATAGCTACCTAAAGAATAATTCAAGTTGTTTCCATATGAATACTGCTACACCTGAGTGAGAACAGCTTAAAGATTAAGGTGTCTGCAAGCCTTTTCCTGTCATTCAGGCAGCTCACACTGTGCAGCCTTAGTTCTCCAGGCTAAGGCACGGCATGAAAGTTGTGAAGGACTCCAAAAATTTAATCCAACTTTCTACCAAGTACTCTAAATTATCTCAAATATTATTGTTGTTTTATGATAAATCTCAATATACAAAGCAAGTACCCTCTCAGTACTTACCTTTTCAAAAATTTCCTTAGCTATTTTTATCTGAATGTTTTATAGACATGATTTTGTTTAATTATCAAGCCAAAGAGGTAGAGTTGGGCTATTTTCTTCATCATTTTACAGATACACAAACTGAGGCTTAGAGAAGCTTATTTGCTGTAGTCACACCAGGACTGGGATTTGAATCCAGGTCTTTTTGACTCCAAAGCCTTTGCCTTTAGAAAGCACATAATGAATTATATGTGAAGTCTTCATCTTCACATATAATTAAGTTCTTCTAATAGGAATAAAATAACTGCAAAAATATATCCAAACAGAAAAATGGTATATAAGGTTTAAGTTTAAGCCAATATATACTTAATGGGAAAATCTAAACTATATTTAAGATTCATTGGCCTTTTATAATCTATATTCTGACTTAGAAAGGGGATGTGGACTGTTCTCTGAATACTTATTTGCTTTATAGCTAAAGAGGTCCTCACAGTCATGGGCCTTATCCTACAGAATTTTGAAAACAAAATTACAGCATGCAAAGACCTTGAATGCCATGTGTGGTTCTGGTTGCAGCATCTAAGAAAGATACATATTTTTTAAATCTGAGAAGATTTCAGAGAGTGACAAAATAAAATACTTTCTGGTCTTGGAATATTAGCATTTAGGAACATAATCTTCAAGGTGAAATTAGGTAAAAGGGGTGGGGCATGGTGGCTCATGCCTGTAATCCCTGTACTTTGGGAGGCCAAGGTAGGTGGATCACTTGAGGTCAGCAGTTCAAGACTAGCCTGGCCAACATGGTGATAACCCATCTCTACTAAATGGGGCATGGTGGCTAATCTCTACTAAATGGTGATAACCCATCTCTACTAAATGGGGCATGGTGATAACCCATCTCTACTAAATGGGGCATGGTGGCTCATGCCTGTAATCCTAGTACTTTGGGAGGCCAAGGTAGGTGGATCACTTGAGGTCAGCAGTTCAAGACTAGCCTGGCCAACATGGTGATAACCCATCTCTACTAAATATACAAAAAAATTAGTTGGGTGTGGTGATATGTGCCTGTAATCCCAACTACTCAGGAGGCTGAGGCAGAAGAATTGCTTCAATCTGGGAGGCAGAGGTTGCAGTGAGCCAAGATCATACCACTCCACTCCAGCCTGAGTGACAGAGTGAGACTCTGTCCCAAAAATAAAAGAAACTAGGTAAAAGGAAAAGTTCTTCCTTATATAGTAGTAAGTAAATTTTAAAAATTTTATACAAGCCAGGTGTGGTGGTGCAAGCCTGTAGTCCCAGCTACTCGGAAGGCTGAGACAGGAGGATTGCTTGAGCTCAGGAGTTCAAGACCAGTCAGGGCCACATAGCAAGACCCCAATCTCTAAAAAAAAAATAAGAGTAAAAAATTATCTGGGTGTGGTAGCACATACCAAAATGAAAATTTTATATAAGACATTGGTTCAAGAAGCATTGAGATCAGGCATTCTGATCTGGGATCCAGGAATGGGCTTCAGGAGATTAATGAACCTCCTGAAATTATCTGCAGATTTGTGTGTGTGTGTGTGTGTGGGTTTGTTTACTTGGTCACCTCAGTGAAATATTAAGAGGTAGTACTCTACTTCTAATTCTGGGCAAATCTGTCTCCTAGCTATAGAAATTGGAGTTCTGGCCAGGTGCAGTGGCTCATGCCTGTGATCCCAGCACTTTGGGAGGCCAAGGTAGGCGGATTGCCTGAGGTCAGGAGTTCAAGACCAGCCTGGCCAAGCCAACATAGTGAAACCTCGTCAATACTAAAAATACAAAATTAGTTGGGCATGGTGGCATGCACCTGTAATCCCAGCTACTTGGGACGCAAGGCAGGAGAATCACTTGAACCTGAGAGGCAGAGGTTGCAGTGAGCCAAAATCATGCCACTGTACTCCAGCCTAGGCAATAGAGCAAGACTCCAAAAAACAAAAAAAAGAAAAAGAAAAAGAAATTGGAGTCCTTTCACTGTGTTTCTCTACTAAAGAGTCATTTCAATAAATTTTTATTAAATGTCTTTTGTGTGCCAGACACTTGTGGGTGCTTTGTGTAATACAAATATAATCACATTAAATGAGTGGGAGTTGCTGTTCTGGAGAAGTGAAGGGTAAAAGGAGAATGATGGAGATAGGATGATAGGTTTGGGGGAAAGCAAGGATCTCCAGTCAGAAAGAACAATTAATAGATAGGTTGGATTCATGTTCTGGATGGCCTTAAATACCAACTCAGCAAGGTTACTACGTATGTATAGTTAAAAGATATCTAAGAAGAAGTCCAAAGACTTGAGATATAGACTGGGCTTTGTCATAATTACATGTGTTACCCTTAGGTAAGTGATTTTACCTCTCTTGACCTTGGCTGCATTTTACACACACACATAAACACAAATGAGATAGGAAATGGGTTGGGTGAGTGTCTGTTTCCTTACAGCTCTAAATTCTGTTATTCCCCTTAATTCAGTTTTAATAGAAGTGGGAAATCATTCATTGAAGATTTCTGAGCATGGGCGTTCTCATCAACAGAATTACTGCTGTTCCACTACCTGGTTGTTCCTATTTATTAATGTTGCTTCTTCCACCTTTATGTAATTGCTCTGGGAGGGACTGTCTCTTTGTTTTGTGTGTGTGTGTGTGTGTG